GATACGTGTTCGTTTCGCTCGTTTCTCTACTCCCTCGCTGGCTCATTCGAGTCCTCTGTGCGTCGCCAAACGACCAGTGATATTGGTATAATATCAAAGTTTTCAGGCAGTTACCGACCGGCTTCCCGTTTCTGGCAGAGCAAAGTAACCACCTTTCTTTCAAGTCTCCCTCTTGAACGTTGCCATGGGGGAGACTTCCAGGGGTATAGAATCCAGCTTGGAACCTCGGGGTCCTCTGTTCGATTCCTTTTAAGAATATCGGAAATTTTCATTTTTCTCGGTTTATCACTATTCTATCTCAATAATGCGTTCTTTGGTTCTCCCTAAAATCCGTGTTAACATTTTGTGGAGGGTTTTTTTAAGCGTTCTGTCACTTTCCTTTGGTATCTGGAGGATTTTTAAGCTGAGCACACTAAACACCAAACTGAACAATCTTTCGGAATACTGAAATTTTATTATTTCCAGTGAGCAAACTACATATTATTGCAATATTAAAATAGCTATGACAAAATATCAAATGAAGCTAATGCCAACGCCAATATCCAAATTTTCTCGCGCTTTTCAATGGCGTAACGTCAGGTGTTGCATAATTTGCAAGTCAAGACGGCAATTTAAAAAGCACAAAATGTGGCGTGCACTTCCTTTTTTTTTTTTTTTTTTTTTTTTGCTGCCGTGAGTTTTTTTAGCATTCATTTGACACCATTAATCTTTTCGGACTCTCTCGCGAATAAGTTGTACTGCCCCAAAATTACATCCGCCGTGACATTTTCAGTGGTTCCAGAAGCACCTCTCGGTTAAAAAACAAAAACAAAAAAAAAAAAAACGGTGAATACAAAATATAAACTTTGATAAATTAAAAAAAAAAAAGTTACTTCTTATTTGAGATAAAATAATAAGGGTGCAGGCGAGCTGGTAGATAATACCCATGTTTTTTTGTTGTTGTTCTTTTTTTTTTTTTTTGGGGGGGGGGGGGGGGTAAAGCGGGGAGATGCTGTGCTGTTCATCTTTGCACCGTCTTAGGTTCAGTGCGTGTCGTCCTTTCGTCGAGGAGCAAAGGGAAACACTTTAAGTAGAAAAAGATTTTTTTTTTTTTTTTTTTGTGTGCATCTTTGTTAGTTTGGAATAGGTACTGGTCCTTTCGTTATATTTTGGGGGAGATTGCTGAGTTATCTTTGTGATTCGACATGAAGGCCGTCCATAGCGCTACTTTGGGAATTAGAGGGTTTGGCGTTTGGACTGTTTAGAGGTTGTCCCTTTGTGTTGGCAGTGACTGGCTGGAGGGTTTGGCGTTTGAACTGGTTAGAGTTGCCCCTTTGTGTTGGTGGTGGGCTGTTTGTGGGCTATATAAGGAGGAGGACTAAATAAACCTGGTATCTGAGTTTGAGACGTCGTCCTGTCCCTTTCTGTTTCTTCGACTTTTATGTTCCTTTCTACCGCAGTCTCAGGTATATTCAACATGGTTTACTTCTTATTGTTACCAGTGTTGCAAATCAGTGACTATCTAAATGTTGCCTTCAAACAGATGCTTTGTTAAGGTGGTGACACACAGAAGGTGTGTCACCACCTTCTGTGTGGAATGGTGTGCACATTTTGTATCCGGCATTAGTCAGTCCGGTGCAATGCATCACTCAAGCCCGCATCACCGCGAAGTACGAAAGATACATTGCCCCAGAGTTGTCCAGAGTAACCGCTCATTCACACTGGAAGCGGATCCGCGTTCGCAAAGCGGTTGCGAACGCGGTTGTATAAAGATACAGTACAATTGCACGCGCACTTGATGTCATCGAGTGCGCGTGCAATTGCACTGGATCTTTATGCAACCGCGTTCGCAACCGCTTTGCGAACGCGGATCCGCTACAAGTGTGAATGAACGGTAAGGGTGTGTCGATGTCATAGAAACCGATCTCTCTTAATCCATTAAATTGCAGATACAGATACTCGTCTATATTCACTTTTTACGTTTTAAATATTGAAAAGCGTTTGTCCCGACATTGTCTTGCAGCAATTAGGAGGCATTGACACCCAAAAATTTGGAAAAAAAACCAACATAATTTACACTTTCTATTTTGCTAATGAAAGGAGTTCACAGTCACTGCTTCTGCACAAACTGTTCGCTACACGCTAGAACTATAGACCAACGTTCGTCAACCTCCCTGTTAACGTGAGCAGACGTTTGTTATTTATTTGACGAACCGTTGCTCATATCTTTTTTTTTTTTTCAAAAGCGCGGAAAATGTTGAATGGTACCGAACCTGAATTAAGTGCTTCAACCCATCACAGTATATTTTCGCATAAACACTTACTAAAACGTTTAAATGATGCATCAAAATTTAATGCAGACTAATAGCCATAGCATGTTGATACTAACAATGTAGCTGCCCGTGTTGAATTAACCTGGGAAGGGGTTACAATGACTGACTCATATTGCACGCAATCAATGTCACTAAAACTGCCACTTGTCTAATGGCGCAAGCGCATACATCAGGCAGATTGTATCGAACTATTGTACCTCGTTTCACTTTCAATCAGAGCACCCACAACAGCTAGAGGACATATACAGACTCACAGCGCAGTCTCTGTACTTGTGTAATTCAGCCTGTGATAGCACGTGCACAGCCAATTGAGCGACACGCGCTGTGACGTTTCGCATTTTGACTCCCCATTGACTCGTGGTGTCGGCTTCACTCTGACTATACTCGGCGACAACTTTTCTTGGCAATGCAGTGGAAGGTACAGGTCCGCGTCCCCTCTCCCATTTTGAGTGTACGCAGGCTCTCCTCCTCTCCCCGGAAATGGGGGAGGAGGAGAGCCTGCGTACACTCAAAATGGGAGAGGGGACGCGGGACGTACCTTCCACTGCATTGCCAAGAAAAGTTGTCGCCGAGTATAAAAGGGCGGTTTCACGTGACGTACTTCCGTCACGAAATCTCGCCATATGCCATGTTGATGCACGTTCTCCCTGCGTCGTTCTAGGCACACAAAAAAATATATCAGTTAACTTTTCTTTTTTTTTTTGCGTCGTTATTGGTTGCGATTTCTGGGGTAGTTGGCCGAACAAAGGAGCATAGTCTGGTATTTGGTTTGTGCACGTACCGGTTTGTATTCGGACTTAAGTCGATCCGGCAATCAAGAGGTTTACCGGTCGTCGGCCAAAAGAGCCGCAGTCGACGCCGCCGGGGTGCCTCCGAAAATTAAAAAAAGCTAGGGGTACGTTTGAGTTTGTGCGGCCCAAATACGTCTCCAATTGCACACATATTAGACTTGTCGTCTATGGAGCCATTCGACGTGCTGAACCGTATAACCGACATCAACCACCCATTCTGATATAGAATCTTGCTACATATGTGCGCTTAATGACTATTTTGCTCTCACATTAAACAATTGTTGCTGCTCTTCATGTGCTAGTTGATTATTATTTTCCTTTGTTTTATTTTGTTTGTTTTTATTAATTACTTTGTATTATATAAATTATTGTGTATGATTTCGCCAATGATGTGTACCTGTGGGGGGCTGAGGACCAGTCAAGCGGCTTGTACAGCTTTTTTTGCTCAGGTCCCACCATACTTGTATGGTTAATAAACCTATTAATATCATTAAAAACAACGCCTATAACTAAGGGCCAGAGTGCAAACCAGTGGCGACTGTGTTCATCAACATAGCGGAACGTGGCTTACCAGAACGGATAGCGTTTCGTGTAACCGCCCAATATTAAAGCAAGGCATAGCCTAACTATATATATATATATATATATATATATATATATATATATATATATATATATATATATATCAGGGTGTCGAACCGGAACCGAACCGAACCGAAAACCGGAACCGAACCGGTATTTTTTTCCGGAACTGAACCCGAACCCGAACCGTTATATTGTTATCGCGATGAACCCGAACCGGAACTGAACCGGAAAAAAAATAACAGTTACCGGCTCATGTCAAAATGGTTCGGCCACGCGCTGTTGACAATGAATGTGCTATCAATGCCATTTGTTTTTTAAGTGCCGTCAACTGACACACACCTTGCTTAGATATTTTTCTTCTCCACTCAGTCTTAGGAATATAAACGCTGCATCCATGAATCTTGACAAACGCTGCATCCATGAATCTTGACATAGGAACCAGTATTGCGCTGGTCGCGGCTTGCACGGAAAAAAAAATTGGAAGGCTGTGCAAAAAAAAAAAAAAAAATCGCGTCACGGGATTTCATTTTCCTACAATCACGTTTCTAGAACGCGCGAGTTCTTGAAGCTTGCTTCCATCGCAATGAGAAAAGGAAAAGCTGTGGAGTTTGATAATAATGCATCCGGTTTCGTATAGGCACTTAGAAGCTAACATATTTGTGAGACAGCGAACTCTTCTATTTTATTATTTATCCTATTACGTCCTTCTGGCATTGCGTTCGGTGAAGTGTTTTTCATATTCCGTATCTTGTTTAATGAAAACTTCTTTAAGGGTCTAATTTGAGTTACCGAAGGCTAGTTCAAATAAATAAAGCTGTATTTTCTCCCCACTGTTCCTTCCATTGCTTACACGCCGAGGTGGCGGGATAGTTAGCGAGTTCTACTTGTAAGTGGGTTTGTAAGGAGGTCGCGGATTTTACAGCTACTGCGTCACACCCAATTAGATGAAGTCCGAATGCGTAAACGTCGGTGAGGTAACCTTTGAGTGCACATAAAGAAACCTTTCCTGGTAGAAATCCCTGAGCCTTACACTACGATGTATCCCGTTTCGTATGTGCTGATTTCACATGTTTTATTTGTAATTTATTTGGATGTTGCAATTTGTCATTTATAATTTCCGAACCGGTTCGCGAACCGGTTCGCGGATCGAATTAATCGAACCGGAACTGAACCGGAACAAAATTAATTTATCTGAACCTGACCCGTAACCGAACCCGTATTTTTTTCGGTTCGACACACTGATATATACATATATATATATATGAATCTTTCGATGTCGATGGTGTCGGGTAGCATCTGCTACAGCACTTACCGATGAGAAGCATCGTTAGCAAGAAATGTCCCAAAAAGTTGGACTGGAAGCCCACGTCGAAACCGTCCTCAGTGAGTTGAACTTCGCTTGAACCTGGAAAAATATATGTATATTTACCAACAATTCAAAGTGTGCGACTGCAGAGGTACTGAACAAACATACATCAGCCGTATTTTTCGCTTGGTACCCCGGACTGATTCAGCGCGCAGACTACCTAAACATATCTTTGTTTGTTTTTGTTGTTGTTGTTTTTTTTTATGACGAGTACTTAAGTCATTAAGGCCGAAGACCGTAAGATGATTTTAAGCGGAAGATCTGCAGAGCAGCCAACAATCAATGCCCGGATTATACCACACAATTTCTGCACTGGCTAAATTTCTCGTCTACACCGAGTGACTCGTCGCAACTTTGAAATGGCTGACTAACTACACGCTGTCTTAATATCCACACAATCCCCCTACCCCCCCCCCCCACACACACACAAACGCACACAATTTCTGCTGAGTTTATTTGTTTATTCACTCAAGTCCCAGCATAGGTCACTGAGCTCACGCTTACACCGAAGTGAGAAACACCTCACTTTATAGGAAACATGCGACAAGACGGTGGCGTCGGGGTGCCGCACTTAGATGAATTATTCGACGGTACTAGGCAGGCGTCGTCGGTCCGTAGCTATACAAGCCATCAAAGCGCCGAGATGTCAAAAACGCCGAACAAAAAGTGTTGCGTTGTTAGCTAACGAAGGTTGTTCGTTTCTTGGCACTGCCGTGCCTCTAAGACCAGCCTGAGTGTTAGATTTGTTGCTTCCGTCTTGTGAATAGGTGCTCGCTGGCATGTTTGGTGCTTGTATGCCCGTGCGTGGGGCGTGAGTGTAATGTGCCGGACTTTTCCTTTTCTTCATTGACGACGGAACTGAATGGAAGCCCACGCTATGGTTCAGAGTTTGCAGTGCACACTTTGTTCGCGGTAGACCCGCGACGGACCCCGCCCTCATCTCTGTCATATGTGCCGACCATTTTTTCACCACCCTACCGCAAACCGGTTAGCGGTATGTGAGGAAAAAAAGTCCCGCTATGAACGGTTATGCCTCAGCAGGCTTTCCGAAAACTTTGTGAGCCACCCCAGCAGCGGGATAAGACTAAATTTAGATAGCGACAAACTGCGACACCGGCAATGCCTACATGCGGAGAAGATTGCTTTAGCGTGCGGGTCGGATCCCATGAGGGTTCCTTTTAGAAATAATTTCTTGCCTTCTTTCGATGTAGGTCAGTAAAGATGTACCGCACCGAGGTTTGGGGGTGCTATGTCGCGCTTTTTGGACTCCCAGGAGACTAGGGAGAAGGAAGTGACGTCAACGACACAGCAAACGAAGATTGGATGTTGACAGAAGAAAACGAAATCAACACCCAATCTGCGTTTGCTGTGTCGTTGACGTCACTTCCCTCTTCCTAGTCTCCTGGGAGTCCAAAAAGCGCAACATAGCACCCCTGGAATCGCCTGCTCATGGTTTGGCAGTTGGTTGTGTTGCGCGAGAATTCGTGCATTCGAGGGGCGTCATTGAGCAAGGAGCTGCGCTCGTGAGCGCGCGCAAAAATTATCATGTCGATCGAGGCAAAGCCACGTCTATTAGCGGCGAGATGATTCGGTGGCGCCCTCATTTGGTTACCTTTCGTGACGTCATTACCTTGTGCTCAACAAGTTCGATGGTGTTTGTAATGGGCATCGTGGAAGCCTGAAATCAAAGCGCTCTCAAAGAACACTGCCAACACCGTCAAAATTGAAGTTCTGACATTCCTCTTATTTCCGTCGATGAGACATCCTTTGCTGACGTCATAGTCAGCATTCGGCCAATCGCGGTGTTCCGACCACAGCGACGCTTTCGATCGCTCACGTCGCCAATAGGGAGTATTCACTGGCGGCCATAGCTGTGTGCGCGAATGCCGAGCCCGTGCTGATGGCCAGCTTCCACAGTTCTTTTGCAACGTGCATTCCGCACCTTCAAGAGTGCCGGTCTTAGCAGCCTATTGATGTGAGCTCGTTCTGAGCATGCGCTCTGACATCACCCAAAAATATGGCGTCCAGTGAATACTCTCTATACTCAGAAAGCCCGGCAGGTCGCCACGAAAAGCGCCCGCCGAAATGGAAAAGGTGGAGCGGCAGACAACGGATGAGAGGAAAGCCATGTGACTGGCACCCCGCTGCGGCGAGACTCCGAAACACACTTCTCACGAGCGAACAAGTGTGTTTTGGGTCCTCGCCGGTGCAAAAGCTGTGCGCTAACGTCCAGATTCCCCAAGAAATGCCTCTTGCATGCTTTGTGCTACCAGATCCCCGCGCTCCGAATCTGCGACCGGGCACTCTATGGCTCCGCCGTCGAACTGCCCAGCTTTGGAAGTATGGAGGAGGCTATGACCGCGGCCACTATGCACGAGTGTTCGTGCAGCCGATCTGGGATCAAACACAAGCAGCTCGCGTACTTGCATCATCGTCAGGAGATTGCAGCGAATGCCACAGGCACGATGTCGAAACTTTGAGGCCCGTTTTCGAACGAGCGCTCGCTCTGGAAGGGCCCAGTTCAGCGCAAGGGATACGCACTAGCTCGTCAGGTAGATGAAGATAACGCTACCACGTTAACGAAAAGGCAGTGTTGCATTAGAAAAAAAAAATTACAAAACATAACTGTAACGGCGTGCACCTCCAAATTCACGTTTTCCTGGTGCAAACGCCGTCCTTTAAGGGGTATTCACACGAGGGAGAAATCCCGGGGATTTCTCCCCGGCACGCGCGCATCACGAGATGAAAACGCGAGGCTTTTGCACATCGCAAAGCCTGACGTTTTCATCGTAGGATACGCGTGCCGGGGAGAAATCCCCGGGATTTCTCCCTCGTGTGAATACCCCTTTAAAGACAGTGGACTGGGAGCCCAAGCTCTCCGGCTCTCCTTCGAGAAGTCGAAAACGTGCCTACTTCTCCCTAGCTTCTCCCCGCTTTCTTCGTTTTCTTCTCTGAAAAATCCCTCGCTGATCAGACGCCGAAAACCGGCTCGTCTCAGCGTACCTGTTACCATATCGCACACAGAATCGCACATGCACAAAGCAGTCGGCGTGTAGCTAGTGTAGCTGTCTAGCTAACCAGCAAGCTGACTGGCTGTGACAGCGGCCGTTGGCGGCACTTCCGTGGCGGAGCGTCGCGCCCCCTGTAGGTGCCGTACGCTTCCTATGCACCTTTTCCACAAGGGCGCAGCCATCTTGAATGTCGTCCCTTGTGGTATCCGTTAAAATGTCGTTTCTATCTCACCGCTGCTCGAATGTGTTCACGAAAAATACGTGATCGTCACACATTCTTGTTTTGCCCTCAGCTATACTTTCTCGCAAACTCTAGGTTGAAATGTTTCTTTTCGTCCCGCATCCAAGATACGGAAACCACGTAACTAAGAACGAAAGGAAAACAAAAACAAAAAACGTCTATAGGCATTGGTGGCCATGGCTGTGTGCGCGAATGCTGAGTGCATGCTGAGGTTCAGCTTCCACAGATCTTTTGCAACGTGCATTTGACACCATCAAGATTGCCTGTGTTAGCAACCAATTAATATGAGCTCGTTCCGAGCATGCGGTCTAAACAGCGCCCTCAAATATGGCGTCCAGCGACGTTGGTTGTTGGGTCCTCCGGGCGTAACGAACTCGTTCGTTTGTTTTTCATGAAACTCACGCGCTGAACAAATTTATTTTGTACGGTTAGAGCAGCTGGCATGTTTGCGACTCCAGGTCCTAAAAGGTGGCACCACTTACAAGCACGTTCTAAAGCCCCTTGATAAAGCCGTCTTTTACAAGTACCGCCAACCATTGTTGTGAAAACGCGCGAGACTCGAGCCACGAGCGGGTGTTCCGCCGTCATTCGCTTCCAAGGCCGCCGCTCATCTCAGTGCTGCGCCACCATTTGCTTCCAAGGGCCGCTCGAGACACGGGCCACGTGAGCTCGCGCATTTGACGCTATTTGCAAGACAAACGGAAACATATCGAGGGACTTTAGCACGTTCTATGGACACTAGGGATTAGCACCTCTCTCGCACCACCCGAGCACAGCTGGGGAAAATCCGACATGAGTTGGCTAGTGACATTATATAAATCCGTGCTGTATTCAAGGAGGAAATGAGAACTGCAGGGCGTGTCTCTCGAAGGCACAGCCTCCAGCACGCACTTCATGCCTTCCGCTGTGCTTTTGATGGGCGCATGCACTCGAGGTGCACATGGCGCCGAAGCGTGGTCAAAGCGAAGGTAGATGAAAGGACAACTGAACCTCCTCCCTGCCGTTCTCACTTCGTCAGTGACTATAAACAAAGATGAAACTGATTTTGTATGACGCGCTCTCACTTCGACTAGAATAACCGGGGAGACTGCCCAAAAGCACCCAAAAAATCATTTTAATTTTCTTTTCTTTTTTTTTTTTGTATGGAGATTTAGACAGCGTAACCTTATTGAGCCTCGAAAGCGCGTCTGCTGTTCCCGCTGAGAAATTGAGCCCATCCAGTACGGAGACTAACCTTTTCAAAAGAACACAAAAAAAAAAAAAAAAAAACTAATATTAGGAATAACAAAAACAACTTATGGCTTTCGTGTTGAGGTTAACGTGTGCACATGACGTGCACTCTGGAGCCCCACCGGCAAGAACTGAGCTGGATTTATAAAAACATTTAACGCAACAGAAGGTGGCGTTAGCCCAACAAAGGTTGTAGGTACAAGTTGCCATGGGGGGAGCCTTCCGCACCTCACTTCCGCTCACCTCGCTTCTCGTCCTGTCTATAATAGCCACTTATAAATATATTTCTGATCGTATACACTTCGATCTTCACTGTCGTCACCGACAGCTTCAGAAACGCAGCGTGTGGCGAGTCTCAAACAACTGATTATCGTTTTATATCCACTAAAATAGTCACATTTGCCGATAAGAACGGCCAGGAACAAATCACAGAGAAAAAAGCCTTAACCTAATAAGCTGTGGGCATCTCGCTCATTTGGACGACACCGCACGCAAGTCGGACTCCTGAACCGAGGAGCCTCTTTCGCGCAGTGGGCAAACGCGATGCCATTCGAAAG